GCTCCATTGGTGGGCCTTATTGCTTTGATAAAAACTGCAATATCTGAAAATTGTCTCAGGCACCTAAGAACTCCCATTTTATGACTTGCACGTGCCTGGAATAAATTACTTTTCCTGCCTTGTTATATATAATTCAGATCCTTATGGATGCGGGTGGGATGCATAACAGTCCTGTAATGATTTATTCATTGGCGGAGGGGAAGCAGAGTGCACTCACCGGGTTCTGCCCAGCCTGTCTGACAGCTCACAAGGTTGGTGTTGCAGGCATATGTTGGATTAGCCTTGAGAAGGAGGAGCCAGTCTGGGCTCTTTAGCTTTCCTGGAATGCAGTCCTGGCTGGGGAGGGGCCACTTGTCAGTACAAGGCTTTCTCTAAGGCAGTCACTAGCTGAGTGAGGGCCTTTGTAAGTACGATTTGAAACTTCTTCTTTGCCAGCTTAGATACTTGGAACCCCATTTTACTGGTGAGGAAATGAGGATTAGAGAAGTTACGTGACTTGCCCAAGGTCATCCAGCCAGCCAAGCAGTAATGGGATTTTCGTATCAGATGGATTGGCTTCCACTTGCCCATTGGCCCCTGAGCCAGGTGCTTAACACACATGAATTCACTTCCTCTTTGGTACCACCCAGGGAGGTATAGATGATTTATTTCTCATTTTCTAGACAAGGAAATGAAGATCAGAGAGGCGAACGGGCTGCCCAGGTTCACCCCTCTAGAAATGGAATGCCTGGGATTTTAACTGAGGCAGGTCAACAGTCACTCATTCATTCCCATATTCATTCATTCATTCATTCAACCTCTCCATGCCTCAGTTTCCTCCTTTGTCAACTGGGGATTAGTACCTACCTTGTGGGATTGTTGTGAGGATTAAATGAGGGATTAAAAAAATGAATTAACACAAGTAAAGTGCATAGAACCAGTGTCTGGCCCCAGAAAAGTGCACAATTGATTTTAGCTGCAATAATAATTATTTTATCTTCACCTATTCTTTCTTTTATTCCACAGATATTTTTAGGTAGCCTACTATGTGTCAGGTACTTTCTTAGAAGTATTGCACATGAGCTCATTTTTATTCTCACTACTGCCCTTATCTCATAGAAGAGGAAACCCCTCCTAGAAATGAAATAAATTGAGGGTGTTCCCCTGATTAAGAGATGCGTTCACTCCATTTTCCAAAGTAGATGAACATTCATTCATACATTTATTCATTCATTCATTTGATATATTTTTATTAAGAATATATTATGTGTGGTATAGGTGCTTCACTCATTTTTGTTGATTAAATGCATGAATGAACACAATGGGGGACAAGGCCGGTCCCAGTTCTCAAAGCACTTGTGATTTCTTGCATGGGATATGAACAAGTAGACAGGAAATGATGGATCACACTTCATGAATTCTACAATGTACTTTTTTTTTTCACTTATTAACCTCATTGAAATTGGGATACATTTTGCAGTTGAAGGTGTTGTAAGATCACTGTAGGCTAGTAGTGGTCAGGATGAGGTTGGTCTTTCCGGGAGATAACAGTGAAGCTATCTTTTAAGAATTCTTGTGGCTGGGCACGGTGGCTCATACCTGTAATCCCAGCACTTTGGGATCTGCCGAGGCAAGCAGATCACCTGAGGTGAGGAGTTTGAGACCAGCCTGGCCAACATGGTGAAAACCCAACTCTACTAAAAATACAAAAATTAGCCTGGCGTGGTGGCAGGCGCCTGTAATCCTAACTACTTGGGAGGCTGAGGCAGGAGTATTACGTGAATCTGGGAGGTGGAGGTTGCAGTGAGCTGAGATCACGCTACTGCACTCTAGCCTGGGCAACCGAGTGTCTCTATCTCAAAAAAAAAAAGAATTCTTGTATTTTTCAAGTGCTTTATTTTGTTTGTTTTTTGTTTGTTTTTTTGAGATGGTCTTGCTCGGTTGCCCAGGCTGGAATGCAGTGGAACAATCATAGCTTACTGCAGCCCCAGTCTTCTGGGCTCATGTGATCCTCCCGTCTCAGCCTCCTGAGTGGCTAGGACTATGTGCACATGCTACCATGCCTGGCTAATTTTAATTTTTTTTTTTTTTTTTTTGTAGAAACAGAGTCTCCCTATGTTGCCCAGGCTGGTCTGGAACTCCTGGCCTCAAGCGATCCTATCTCCTTGGCCTCCCAAAGTGCTGACATTATAGGCATGAGCCACCACACCCAGCCTTTTTAGTATTCTTAATGGCACAGTGGAGAATATCTTGTAGGAAAACATGGACATTGGCAACCATGATTTTAAAAATGATTTGGAAGATACAGACTTTGTACTGAAGACAGTTTTGGAATATCTTAGTAAATGTATTTTACTTGTATTTCCTTTTTCAAAAAAAAGTATGTGCAGAGTGATATTATATTTGATTAAAATTGATGTCTAAATAACTCTAAAAGTGCTTTTTAAATAATACAAACAAAAATTCTAAGTGATAAGAAAGCATTGTGACTCCTAGGTATACCCAAGAGACTTGAACACATATGTCTGCATAAAACACATGTACACGAATGTTCATAACAATAGCAAAACATGTGAAAACAACCCAAATATCCATCAACTGATGAATGAATAAACAAAATGGGATCTATCCATATGGCAGAATATTATTTGACCATAAAAGGTCATGAAGTACGCATACATGCTACAACATGAATAAACTTTGAAAATGTTATGCTAAGTGAAAGTGCTGATCATAACCCTGAAAAACACAATCCCAAACACTGTATCTCGAATGCTGAAATCCTTCAAGATCAAAATTTCTAAAGATAAAAATCCCTAAAGTCTAAAATCCCCAAAATTGCTACTAGTGCATTTTTGGTTGCATACAGGACAGCTGTATCATGTTAGTTGCATCATGTTAGGCGGAACTATTATCTTGTTATTGTCTTTTTTTTTTTTTCAATTAAGTATGTTTTAAGGTGATGCATATGGTTCCCAAGTTGTGTATGGGTGCCAAGTTGACAAGGATGGACTTAATTGGTCAAACTTAATCTGGCCAAGCGTTATTTTGGGTGTGTCAGTGAGGGTGTTTCCAGAAGAGATTAATGTGTGAGTCTGAGTGGACTGGGGGGGATGATCTGCCCTCAATGATGGTGGACACCATCCAATTGGCTGAGGATTTGGCGAGAACAAACACAAAAGGTGAATTGATCTCTCTCTTCTGAGAGCTGGGACAGGCATTCCTTCTGCTGTTTTTGATCGGTCTCATCAATAGACTTAGGTTGCCCATCATGGTATTTCAGATGACTACAAGTTATATAAAGAAATAGCTGCTCATAACATTTATACAGGTGTGACTGTCATTACTATACTTGAGTGTTGATGCCTGCAAAAATACATATGTTATTATTGCTTATTTTATATTATTGCTTATTTTATTGCTTATGATAGGTCATGTGGCCTATCAAGTGTTCTGTCATGTTTTTCTGTGTTTCTCAAATAAATCCCCTTTACAAATGTCAACAAATGTCTTTTAGAGAAATTTAATATTTTTTTTGCAGAATTATATTTTCAAGATTTTGGTATTTGGGGATTATGATTTTTGGGATTTTAGGCTTTAGGGATTTTCATTTGTCCAGATTTCAACATTCGAGATTATGGTGTTTGGGATTATATTTTATGGCCCCAAACCAAGAGAAAGAAGTCAGCCATATTAGTCCACATATCATATAACTTCATTCATGTGAAGACCCAGTATAGGGAAATCTGTAGAGACAGAAAATAGATTAGTGGTTGCTTACAGCTGGGTGTCAGGGGTACAGGAGGTGTGGGAGGTGATAGGTGATAGCAGTAGGTACAAGATTTCTTTTAGAGTTGATGAAAATGTTCTAACATTGAAGGTGGTGATGGTTGCTCAGCTCTGTGAATATACTAAAACACATTGAATTGTACCCTACACATCAATAATGCTATCTTTAAAAAAGAAAAGCATGTGTCAGTCTTTTTTAGGGTTACACACAATAATGATAGTGGCTTAGATTTGATGAAATACAGTACAATGTAACATGGTCAGTGTGATGTCGGAGTAAAGATGGGGCTGTCGAGGCACTGGGGAGGCATCCAGGCCTGTCTGGGGCAGCAGGGAAGGCTTCCTGGAGGTGGTGGTGGTAGGATGATGTCAAAGCTGAAGCTGTGGGGATAAGAGTGAGAGTGAAACACAAGTGATCCAGCAAAGGCTGGGAGGTGAGAATCTGTTCTTTAAGGAGACAGCCTCTTCCCAATACAGATACCTGGCCTTACCCCTGGGACTCTGAGGGATGTCAAGATGAGTGAGGTTGAGGTCTAGTAGCGAGGATAAATAATCTGTGCCCATTCTCCTAGGTTGGCATCTCCAAATAACGCATCAGGTATGTTCAAAGGAGGAATGACAGAGGGAGGATGGGGAGTCACTCCTGGATGAGGTTTTAAAAAGCAGGCGGGTCGTGACAATTTCTGCATGCTAGTCGAAGAATAAACAGCACAACCTTTCTGGAGGGCTATTAATTTGGCAAAGAGCTGACCTTTTCACCCAGCCATTCCACAACCGTGCTTTTGTCCTAAGGAAATACTTATGATGATTCCCAGCTATCTGTTCACAAGGATGTTCTTCAACATGTCTGTACAACAAATGGAAAATCATGGAATCAGTCTGGATACATGACAAGTGGCCTGTGGATTCTAGACACCACAGCACCATCACCAAAGGGTCAAGTGTGTTGAGTGAGGGCAGACCTAGATGTCAGGTAAACCTGACTTTAGGCAAACCCCATGCAAGCTTCAGTTTCCCCATGTGTAAGATGGAGATGACCATAATGAAACTTACAAGGCTGAGGTAGGGAGGAAATGAACAAAAACACAAGAAGCACTTAGAACAATGTGTAGTGCATGAATAGTAGCTTTACTGATTATTATTTCTTATGGAGCTAATAACAGGGATGTGCTTGGAGGTTATTAAATGATAGTGAAAGAGTCAAGACTGACGAAGTAAGAAAAAAAAGGCGATTGAGAAGGGACCCCATTTTCATGGGTGGAGATATAGATATAATTTATTTTTCTTCTTGGTGCTTTAAAGAAATTTCCTAAAATTTCAAAGGGAACAAGAATGCATTGTGTGATCAGGGTGGGGGTGCTTTATGTTTTGTTTTTCTAAAGAGATACTTTGAAGACATACGTCTCACTGCAAGAGCAAAAAGCATCTCCGAGCTCCATCTTCCATTGGCCGAGCAGACCCTTTCCGAGGCTTCCCTGAGCAGGAGGGCTCCAGCCCGCAGTTTTGATGTGAGTTGGAACTCAGTGCAGAGTGTGTGATCTAAAAATAGGCAGAAAGACTTGAGTTAGTGGCTGCCCCAGTTTTTCCAGTTCTGACAGGGCACTTCAGTTAATGGAGATCAGAAGTTTTAAACCAGACAGGATGCGGTGGCTCACGCCTGTAATCTCAGCACTTTGGAAGGCCGAGGTGGGTGGATCACCTGAGGCCAGGAGTTTGAGACCAGCCTGGCAAATGTGGTGAAACCCCGTTTCTACTAAAAATACAAAAATTAGGCTGGGCGCGGTGGCTCACGCCTGTAATCCCGGCACTTTGGGAGGTCGAGGCAGGTGGATGACCTGAGGTCAGGAGTTTGAGACCAGCCTGGCCAATGTGGAGTAACCCCATCTCTACTAAAAATACAAAAATTAGCTGGGCATGGTGGCACATGCCTGTAATCCCAGCTACTTGGGAGGCTGAGGCAGGAGAATTGCTTGAACCTGGGAGGCGGAGGTTGCGGTGAGCTGGACCACACCATTGCACTCTAGCCTGGGCAACAAGGGTGAAACTCCGTCTAAAATTAAAAAAAAAAAAAAAAAAAAATTAGCTGGGCATGATGATGGGCGCCTATAATCCCAGCTACTCAGGAGGCTGAGGCATGAGAATCGCTTGAACCCAGGAGGTGGAGGTTGCAGTGAGCCACAATTGTGCCATGGCACTCCACCTGGGTGACAGAGGGAGACTCAGTCTCAAAAAAAAAAAAAAAAAAAAAAAAGCTTTAAACCAAGCAGTGCTCCTGGCAGCTCCCTGGGATGAAGTGGAAGGAGTAGAGCTCCCCCTCATACCCTCTCCACCCACACCCTGCCCACAGCTGAGGCCCAGGGCTTCACGGTGCCGCTGGCTAGGGTGGCTGGGGTGAGGCAGCTGGACCTCACTGTCTAGACCTCGCCATCTGGAACTCTTGCCAGTGATTTCCTTTACTCTCGGAAACTCCCGTCTCCCGGAGCTGCGTCTGCCTCAGGGTCAGCCCTGGTCTGTGGTGATAGCCTCGGCTATGAGAGGGAGCACACTGCTCATAAATTATGGGACAGAGCTGTCAGTGGCGCCAGGAGGCCAATTTCTCTTCCAAGCTGTTCAGACAGGAACCAGAACTCAGACCTGTTGAGTTCATTCCCTTTTCTCTGTTTCCACTGCTGCTAGCCCGGCCCATTCTATCACCATTTTTTTTTTTTTTCCTTTTGGAATGTTTTTCTCCATTGAAAATTAGGTGTAACACTACCATGAAGCCAAGCTGGATGAGTTTCACATATGAACACACTCATCGGACCGCCACACAGATCAAGAGATAGAGCATTTCTTAGACCACAGCAGGCTGTCTTGTGTCTTCTGTCAGTCAGTATCACCCCAAGGGTAACCACTCCCTAACATCCATCACCATGGATTCATTTTGCCCATTTAGAACTTTCTATAAATGGAATCAAATAGAATGCACTGTTTTGTGTCTGGCTTCTCCACATTATGTCTGGGAGATTGATTCACGTTCTTGGGGATAGCAGTAGCTTTTCCTTTTTCATTGCTGTGTAGCATTCCACTGTATGAATGGACTGCAGTTTTTAAATATATTTTATGTTGATGGGCATGGGGATTATTTCTACTTTGTGGCTGTTATGAATAAGGCTGCTGGAGACGTTTCTGTTGATGGACGTAGGCCTTTATTTCTACTGTCATTTCTTGCATGGGCAACTGCAATAGTCTTTTCCCTAATGTCTTTTCCCCCTTTACTTTATGTATAGCTTTCAGAGTGATTTTTTTTAAGACAGGGCCTTGCTCTTTCACCCAGGCTAAGGTGCAGTGGTGCAATCACAGGTCACTGTAACCTTGAACTCCGGGGCTCGAGTGATCCTGCCACATCAGCCTCCTGAGTAGCTGAGATTACAGGTGTGAGCCATTGTACCTGGCCCGGAGTGATCTTAAATAAAATTGTGTGACTTAGTTGCTTAAGCCTGTAAAGGCTTCCTATTGCCCTTAGGACTAGCCCCAAACTCTTTACTCTGCCAAAAATAACCCTGCACCCTCTGGCCTCTGCCTGCCATTCTTGGGTTTTCTTGAACCTCTCTCCCCTTCAACATGCCTCAGCCACACTGGCTCTCTTTCTGTCCTTTGGATATGCTATGCCTGTTCCCTGAATGCCTCTTGGCACTAGCTGCTCGATCTGCCTGGAATTCCCTTCCCTAAACCTTCCCCAATATTGGTCACTTATGTCTTATCTTTAGTGAGGTCTTCCCTGACCAGCCCATCAGAAAGAGCCCCCAAAGTCATTCATTCTTGGTAGCATTTCTACTCTCTAATAGTCTTGTCTTCCCCACACTATGAGAGCAGGGCACTTGTTTAATTTACTCACATCTGTGACCCCAGTGACTAGTCTGGGGTCTGGCTTGTGAATGTTTATTTATTCAATGGCTGAATGAAGACGTTAGTCATAGTTTTTTCATCCATTTTCACACTGCTATAAAGAAATACCTGCGACTGGGTAATTTATAAAGGAAAGAGGCTTAATTGACTCAGAGTTCCACATGGCTGGGAAGGCCTCAGGAAACTCACAATCATGGCAGAAGGGGAAGCAGGCATCTTCTTCACAAGGCAGCAGGAGAGAGAGTGAGCACAGGGAAAATGCCAGAAGCTTATATCACCATCATCTCTCCTGAGAATTCCCTCAGTATCATGAGAACAGCATGGGGGAAACCGCCCCCGTGATCTAATTACCTCTCTCCCTCGACACATGGGGATTACAATTCAAGATGAGATTTGGGTGGGGACACAGAGTCAAACCATATCACATAGGTATCCATATCCTTTTATATATTTTTTTAAAGAAAATAGTGTGGCCCAGTGTAGATGACCGTGGAGCTCAGTAGTCAGTCTGCCTGAGTGTGAGGCAACTCTCCACCTCTTACTAGCCGTCTGATCATAGTCCAACCTCCTCATGCCTAACTTTCCCCATTTGTACAATGGGGATCATAGATTGTGGCAGGCATCTGAGACCTACTCTTGCTGTTTATAGACTAGCCATTTTGCAGGGCAGCTGTACTATCCCTGTTTTACAGACACAAAGGAAGAAAACGTTGGTTGAATGAAGGTTCAGAGACTGCTCATATCATGCAGGTAACAGTGGCAGCTTCGGGACTTGAACCCAGGTCTGGCTGACCCCAGAGCCTGTGTGGACGCCAGTGGGAAGCCTCAATATGCAAATGAATTGAGGTTCTTGCTCGGATCAGGTTGGGTGGCCTGTTGAGTGTTTATATAATAATAGAATTCCACTACTATGTCTGTAGCTCTTAAAGGTTTATACAACAGTTCCACTGGGTTAACTCACTTGGCTTTCCCATGAGATCTGGAAAATGGGCAGGGCCAATACAGACTCCTTTATTTTTTTAATATGTGTTTATTTATGAGATGGAGTCTCTCTCACGCAGGCTGGAGTCCAGTGGCATGATCTTGGCTCACTATAACCTCTGCCTTCCAGGTTCAAGCAATTCTCCTGCCTCAGCCTCCCATGCAGCTGGGATTACAGGCACCCGCCACCATGCCTGGCTAATTTTTGTATTTTTAGTAGAGAAGGGATTTCACCATGTTGGCCAGGCTGGTCTTGAATTCCTGACCTCAAGTGATCTGCCCACCTTGGCCTCCCGAAGTGCTGGGATTATAGGCGTAAGCCACTGTGCCTGGCCGGGACTCCTTTATTTTAGATGAGAGATCTGGGGATTCAAGACTTGCCCTGCATCACCCTCTGGCCCTCAGACCCACTGCTATTTCTGCTGCCAATAACTTCCAACACTCTGGCTGTGCTATACAGTGGTTTCAGCCTTTTCACACCTAGTGTCTTGTAGCTCCCTGAATTTTAGGCTTTTGCATGCCACCTTTACTGTCTTTTAAAATCCGCTCTCTTAAAAGCCAAAACTGGAAACCAAAAAATGTGAGCCAATCCTAAGCAATATTATCAGTGAACTCATGGTTTGATATTCTTTCAACAAATATTTATTGCGTATGTGGTATGTACCTGACACTGTTTTAGGTACTGGGAGTACTTCAGTGCACCAAAAGAGAAAACCTCTGATCACAGAGTAAGGAGAGACACACAATGAATGAGTTAATAAACGTATACAGTATCAAGTGGTGATATATGATGTGAAGTAAAATAGCAGATGAAGGCAACAGGGTAATATGATAACTATATACATAAATTTTCTGATGCACATGAAATCAGTGCATAGCTGTCAGAATAAAAATTTCCATTCAGGTACCATCTGAATTTGTCTTATATCAGCAGGATTATGTAAAATACATAGTGCCCTTTGGAAAACCTTCAAGCAGCCCCAAGAAGGTGGATCAGGTGGGAATACCCTTTATTTTTACTGAGCAGGAAACAGGTTCTGAGAAGTGCAGTGATTTTCCCAGGCTTACATAGCCAGAAGGTGCTAGAATTGGGCCCTCTTATTCTGTCTCCTGCCTCTGTCATTTTCTAGATTGGATACAAATTCTACCCTGAAAGAGTTTAAACTTACAACTGACCTAATTTCCCCATGGAACTGGACTGCCCATCCACATCTGACCTGGTGCACGTGTGGACTGGTGGCGTCTCCCAGCATCCTTGGACAGGAGGATGGGTTACAATTGATCGCCCTGTTGCCTTTGCTCCCCTGACCAGGCTGAGCCACTGCCAGAGATAAACTTGCTGATATTTCAGGGTGGAGATAGCATCTCTCCAACTATCCTCCTTAATGAGCTTCTAGTCATTGGAGATGGTGATAACCTTATCGCCTGTTACAGATGTTCCTACCTGCCTCCCAGTCCCTCATTCAGTCGGGTTCCCCAGGGACTAGAATCCCACCATCTATTCAGGGTGAAAAACAAAACAGGACTCCCTACTTCGAGAATGGGCATTGGTAACACGCTGTTTCTTTGAAGAATAAGTGCCCCATTCAAAGATGTCTTATTTGGCCTCAAAATATCTTCCTATCGTGTGAGGGTTGATCTATTTCACTTGGGAAATATGAAGCTAAGAG